GGATAAGAGAATGGACCTTGGAGTCAGATTGTCCTAGTTTAAACCCTAGCACCAACCCTTGCTAGCTGTGACCTTAAACAAGATACTCAGCCAAGGCAGCGGCTAAACCTGTAATCCTAGCACTCTGGGAGGCTGAGGCAGGAGAATTGCTTGAGCACAGGAGTTTGAGGCTAGCCTGAGCAAGAGTGAGACCCCGTCTCTACCAAAAACAAAGGAAAATAAAAAAACCCAACCTGGCATTGCGGTTCATGCCTGTACTTCCAGCTACCCAGGGAGGCTGAGGCAGAAGAATCACTTAGAGGCCAGGAGTTAGAGGTTGCAGTGAGCTACAGTGACGCCACTGCACGCTACCCAGAGTGACAGAGTGAGACGGTCTCAACAACAAAAAAAACAAGGCAACTGAACACCCCTTCTTACAACTCCCCATCCCTTAAAAAAAAAAAGAAAAGCAAGGTACTTAACATCCCTGAGTCTCAGTTTCTACATCTAAAAATAAATGGCAGGTAATAATAGCAGTCACTTCATACAATTGTTGATATGATAAAATAAGGCTACTTCTTGGGACACGGAAATAGCCCAATAAATATGAGTAATTATTAATTTTTTAATTTGCATATACCCACAGTCATATCTTTGGGAAGAATATATAGGTTCACTTCTCCTCACTAAAAGAAATGGTCTTAAATGAGGACTAGGCAACAGAATGCATTCCTTTCCCTGAGGGATAATGAAAAAAAAAAGGCTTTTAATCATATATATAATATATTTTTTTTTTTTGACTCTTCACAATCTTTATCTCTCTTTTTGCCTTTTCTTCCCATGTCTACATAAAATCTTTCCTGAGCTCCTGTAGGCCTGGGTTAGCCACTGGCACTGCTGGCTCTTAGGAGGCAGTTCTTATCTCAGTTCTGCAATAAGACTGTGCCCCAGGGCAGGACATTTAACTTTGTGGGGCCACAGTTTCCACATCTGTATAGCAAAGAGTACACTGGTGGAGTAGATGATCTTCAAATTCTCTTCCAAATATAAAAAGCCATAAATAAGTTGATGACTATTATTAGTAAATTCACATCAAACACTGACCAAAATTCTTAGAAAGTACATATTAACCCTATTTGGAATACCACACAAAAATAAGCATAAGTACAGCAACACTCTGAAAGCTAAATTTTGCCTGGTCACTTATAGAGAACACATGAGCACCCTAAAGCTTTTATTTAAATTAACTCCCTTACCACAGTGGAATGGGCTCTTATTAATTCAGAACTTTCTCTTAAGACTACCTAATGGTCCTTTATGTACAAGTTTCAGAGTATAGTCACTAAGCATTCTAGTCACTATAAATTACCAAACCAGTGCTTATAATTTCAAGGTAACTGAACAGAGAACTGATAGTCTGGAAGAATCAAAATTGTCATTCAGCACCAGAGAAGGTGACTAAGTAGAAAGCCATTTAAAACTCAATTACTTTATTTGACTCTTTGTGTTACCTAAATTCTTCTTACCGTGTTTCTGTTGAGGAACAGAAGTCTAATTTAAAATGGCATTGTGGGCCGGGATGATGGCTCATGCCTATAATCCTAGTACTCTGGGAGGCTGAGGTAGGAGGACGGCTTGAGCTCAGGAATTCAAGACCAGCCTGAGCAAGAGTAAGACCCCCATCTCTACTAAAAATAGAAAATATTAGCCGGGCATAGTGGCATGTTTCTGTAGTCTCAGCTATTCGTGAGGATGAGGCAGGAAGATCACTTAAGCCCAGGAGATTGAGGTTGCAGTGAGCTTACGATGATGCCACTGTACTCTAGCTCAGACAACAAAGTGAGAATCTGTCTCAAAAAATAAATAAAATAAAATGACATTGTGGGTTAACAAATGACACAGAAACATCTCTACAATATACATTTTTGGTGAAAAAGGCAGATTACAAAACATGACCAGCAATATTGATCCCATTTTGGTAAAAAACCACACATATATATGTATGCATAGACCTGATAGAACACACTTTAAGTTGTTAATAAGTTTATAATTTTTCTTTAAAAACTTTTTGCATATATATCCTATTTTTCTATAATGAATGCTTATGGTTTCTGAAATAATAATTCAAACAAACAGGCATTTCATTTAACAAGAAAGGTAGATCTGGTACCCAAACTATAACCAGATCCCTCCCTACAGCACAGCTCAGCATCCCTTACAGAGGCTCTGACATCCTTCCTACCATGTGCCTGGGGCTGAGCTGGGGTGGGGGTGCCAAGATGTTTTTAGGTACCAGCCATGAGGTACCACCAAGATGGCTCCAGATCCCTGCCTTCCGTTCACCTCAACCTTCAGAGCCACTGGCTTCCCACTGACTAGCTTTACCAATTTGTAACTCTCTGAGGAGAGTTTACAAAACATGATCAAAGGTACTAAATTCCGGTTCTGGCTTCTGTCACATTCACTGATTTAGGGGAATCTATAACAGAAGAGTCTAGGTTACTCTGGCAGAGATCCAATTTTAAAAGTTGGAGTTAACTACTGCCCTGCATTTTAGGCTACCCAATGCCAGTCCTTTCTGATCACAAGAAAAAAAAAAATAAGCTCATCATGTTTAAAAGCATCATCATCAAATGTAAGCACTTTTGTTTTTAACACCAAGTACTGATTCTTGATAGATTCTCTGGCTTATTAAAGGCCACCATCACTGAACCGTCTAAGATCTGATCAGCCAAGAACAAGCTTATCACCAGGTGCAGGTATGATTACATTATAAGGCGTAAAGGTTGTTCTGACAGCTCAGTCATCTACCAATAAACAGGTGGTAAGGAACTGTGATTTCCCAGCTAGTAAAAGCCATACAAAGATAAGTGACAGCAAGACATACATCAAAGGCAGCAAAGATGAAGGCAATATGGGGGAAAGGAGAATCGAAAAAACAGAGGACAATCTTCAGAAAAGTGTTCTAAGGAACTCCTCCCACTGGGTGAGCCAAGAGTTTACCAGACCCAGGGCTCTCAGAGGCACAAAGCTACACTTCAATGCTGTTCCCATGCATTTCCCATAGCATGATATCTGGCAAAAGCTATGTACTTAAAAATAAATTGCTTTCTCACCCCTTCCTACCCTTATCTTTTAAAAAACCATCCACAATTTTGATCAAAACTTCATCCTCTGTTACAAAATATATTAAGCCAAACTACAACAAAGAAGCATAGTGTCTGCACAGCATTATTTTAATGCAAAAAAATAAAACTGCCAACTATAAGGATCTGAAAAATGTGACCACTTCAGGCTTATTTTGGGGCTGAACCACTCCCTTCACTAATTATCTCTCAAAGGAAATATATCAGGCACTGTGGGCAAAGAGGGAAAACATGTCTAATTACAACATGCGCACTTGGTGGATGAAGAATTTGAACATTCTTGAACTCTGGCCATATTTCAGAAGACTTTCCACTTGTAGTTTAATCTCAGTGTAGAGGAATGGTTAAAGATCAGCTGCATTTCAACTAGGACTCAATCAAAAAAAAGACATAAAGAGAAACTGTCCACATTACTTACAAGTGATACCACAAGGCAGGCCTGCTGAAAATTTCAAATAACCCCGACCTCATATATCAAGTGCTAACAGAGGAAGTGGTTTGTATTTTTAAATTACAACTAAAACTAAGACCCATTTCAAGAATATTCTCCATTGGAGAAAACACATCTTGAATTTAAAGAAACATATGCAAAGGCTTCAGGCCCCAGGAGATCTTACAGAAGAAGTCCCCGATCAAGACCTCTCATCCATAACCCACCTGCTTCTGCCTTAGGTAGGTGGGAAGACATCTGAGACAATGAATTTGGTAGTGCTTCCGCTGGAGACAGGGGCAGAAAAAACCTTCACAAACCCCTAATGAGAAGGCATCTAATTAGGCATATGGATTAATAACTACTCAAGAAGCCTTCAGCATGGCCTACAAGTTCTGATGTCTCTAACCTCCTCCTGTATAACTCTCCCCTTTGCCCACTGGGCCTCTGACACTCTGACTTCCTTACCTCTCCTCCAACTCTCCACGCTCCCACTCCATGGCCTTCACGGGGCCTGTTCCCTCCTCCAGGACTACTCTTCCCTCAGACCCCTTATATCTTCAAGTCTTGGCTCAAATGCCACCTTAGCGAGGAGGAAAAGGTTGTCTCTTCATTCTCATGACACTTATCCCCTTCTAATACACCATACAATATACTCATGTATTATGTCTATAGTTTACCCTGTTTCTCCTCTCCCCCTCAAATAAGCTCCAAGAGCAAATCTTTGTTCTGTTCACTGATGTGTATCACAAGCGTTTAGAACAGTGCCTGACAACATGGAGCTCAAAAAGTATTTTCCGAATGAATGAATGAATGAACTTCTTGACAGTAACATTCCAAGAGGACAGCTAGACAGTGGAAAGGGTAATGGTGAGGGGGTGACATGAAAGGGAGAAAGAAACGACACAGAAGAATTCACAAGGAAGAGGCGGAGGCTGGCTGAGGCCAGGGCCGACAGTGCTGATGGGAGGCGGGAGTAGGTGCACCGTATCCCTCCAGCGGCATCAAATGGCACTTAGAGAGCAGAGACAGGCGAGCTCTCAAGACTCACCGAGAAAGTCCAAGGGCAAGGCAGACCCGGGCGGGTCCCCTCGGGGGCCCCGACCTCCAGCCCTTCCCCTCCCAACAAAGCCCACAGCCCCAGTAGTTCCCCTCCAGTGGACCCAGGGGCGTCCCGGGTCCCAGTACCTGTCGGTTCCGGCCCCCTCACCTGGTCGCCTGCGAGCTGGGCCCTGGCGTTCCGACACCTGCCTGCCCGCCCGGGGGTCCCCACCTCGGCCCGCAAGGAGGCCCCAGCTCACCCCTGCAGCCTCGTTCCTCCCGCCTACACCCGGCACAGGAGCAGGAAGCGTCCCGCGGCCCTTCCCGCGGTGGGGAAGGGGCTCCCAGCGCCCCTCGCCCGGGCCACTCTAGCCCGACGCCCCGCCCGTGCGGCGCCCCCTCACCTCAGGGCGCACGTACGACACGAAGGAGGGCTTGGGCGCCTTGGTGCCGCCGCCACCGCCGACTACCCCTTTCCCCAGCATACCGCCGCCCCAGGAAGCAGCGACGCGCGGGAACAGAGGCGGCAGCTCGGGTTCCAGCTCCCGCAGCGGCGGCGGCCACCAGCACTAGCGGCTGGGGCTCCGCCCATCCCCAGGGCCGCGGTAGCCTTGGTGCCGCCCGCATCCGGCTCCGCCGCTGACACCGCGAGCCCCGCCCAGGCCCGCGAGCTCCGCCCAGCCCGCGCGCCTGCCCAGCGTGAGCGGACCCCGCGGCCAGAGACCACGCCCCCTCCCATTAAGGCAGGCGAGACTGACCCGCCGGGATTTGCCACTTTCCTGAGGCAGAGCCCGCCCCCTTGCCTTCTCTGATTGGCCAAAGGCGCTGCCGGTCGAGCCCCGCGCCAAGCCTCTACTTGAATAAACCTGGAGAGATGTTTCCTCTAACCAATCCAGAGAGCGTTCTCTCTGGACTTCCTAGCGATTGAATAACGAGGGTATCGCCGTCGTCCAATGATCCTGAGGTCACTAAGTTGTCTTGGGCAGGGGTTCACGACAGTCGTTTTCTTCCCTTTGCTTGTTGTTTTGGAATAAAACGTCCAAAAGTGTGATGTATCTAATCTCCCCCTATGAGTTCCAAATCTACATCAATGATGTTCAGATTTATTATTATAATTGTTGACAAAAATGAGACAAACCAAGTGTTAACAGGCACTAAGGAATAAGTTTGAATGTTTGCTCATAGAAGACGTCAACTTCATTTTTCCCAAGCTGTTTTTTATTTCTTTGTTTTTCTAACAAGCAGAATATCAAAAGCCTTTAAAAGACTTATCTACGCTTGCAAGTTACTGATAAAACCCTCATTTTTAGCCAAGATTACAAAGAAAATTAATTTAAATTCCACATTTGGCGCCAATCCCTGTGGTAGACACAGATGAATATGACAGGACCCAGTTCTTATGAAATTCAGCCTCATGGAAAAAAACTGATAAATTTTGGCAGTTATATTTTTAGGTGTCAGGCACTGCACTAAGCATTAGTCTCATCAGTGACTGGTTTTTACCCTTATCTCCGTGCGCTCCTCCTTCCGAAATCCACTCCAAGTAAACACAAAATCTAAGTGAAAACAGACGTGGTTGCTTTTGCAAACATAGTTTCAAGACAAGTCCTGTGGCCCCATTTCCAATCAGATTGCCATCATTAAGCCTACCTGGCATAGCAGCGTTGGAGCCACTACTGAGTTTACTTATTCCCATTTTCAGGTGAGAAAACTAAAATGCAAGTAATTTCCCCGGGTATCTCAACTAAATAAGTCACTGAGGGGGTTGGGATTCCAATCCAGGTTTGTCTGATTACAAAGCACAAATTCTTAACATTATAATTATACAAATTAAACCGGGCGTGGTGGTGCTCGCCTGTAATCCCAGCTATTAATACTTGGGGAGGCTGAGGCAGAGGATGACTTTATGCGAGGAGTTCGTGGGCAACATAGCGAGACCTTATCTCTATAAAAAAAAATTTTTTTTTAAAGAAAACATACTGGTTAAGGAGGTATTGAGAAATGAATTTATTTGTCAGGACTAATAATATCATTTTATACTTCACAGTTTTTACATTCCAAAGTAGAATATCAGGGCAGACGTGTACAGTGAGCAAATGCTTGCTTTCTTGCTTTTCAAAGTACTTTGAATTTCCATGATCCTCTTACCATAATCACTATGTAAATGTGAGTACTTAAGGCCAGGGCTGTCTTCTTGGACATGCAACTAGTGCAGTCACACAAGACTCTGCACTTCAGAGGGCTTGTGGTTTAACGCTTTGTGGTTTTTGTTAATCGATTTATCTTTGCATTTGTCTTTTTAAAGTGAAGGTTGTTGGGATAATGGAGCACCCGCAGGCGTCGTGGAGCCTCTGCCTAAGTGCAGTCCCACCTCCCACCCCTCCCCACTTCCTCTCAGCTACGCAGTACCCGCTAGGACCTGGCCTTCCAGAGCCAACTGCTGCCCACCTCTGCCAGAGACAGCAACTGGGTCTCATTACCGGAGGGTGTGGATAGGGGTAATCTCGTGTGCTCTGCAGTCGCCATCCACCCTCCCGGTGGGTGCCTTGGCACAGTCTAGCAGAGGGTTAAGGTCAGGCACAGTCCCCCTACCCCCTCCAATGTCTCTGGGTGGGATAAGGCAGCAGCTATCCCCGCCCTAGGCCGGCAGTGCCACAGCGACCGGTGGAGGCCTTTCGCATGCTCCCATTCAGGTACCCAATGTGGCCTGGGCAGAGGCTGCAATTCCTTTTTTTTTTTTTTCTATCAAGGTTTGCTTGGTACAGAGGCTGCAATTCCTTGGGGTTGCCCAATCACTATGAGAAGGGGAGTTGGCTTCCCCGCCCCCTGGCCAAGGCCACATTTTCATTTTGCACTGGCCCAGCAAGTTATGTAGCAGGCCCAAACTATGGCCTTTATTATTAACATCTGTGTCCTTAGACTAGTTACTTCCTCTCTCTGTGGTTCTATTTCCTCATCTTAAAGCAAGAATGATAACAGCAATACTAATTAATTCAAGTTGGTTGGGGGATTGTTATGAAGATTAAACAAGTTGATCCAGGTAAGTCCTGGGAAACAGCAAGAACTAAATAGGTGACAGCTATCCTCTGAGCGATCTCACCAAGCAGGACATAATTTACAGGTTCCAGGGATTGTAGAAAGAGAAGCAAAGTGACTCCTCCCTGTTAATTAACTCTGGGACTTCGTTAAACAAAGGGATTTTGTTTGGTTGGTTGGTTTTTAACTTCTAGCCCAAACCTTGCACTAGAAATAATGGCTTTTGATTCCTAATTCACCACACCAAATTTCCCTCCCTTCAAACCATCCTGCCTTAAATAATTACTTTATCCTGACCTTCAGCATCCATCTGTGGTCAAGCTGGTTTGCAAGGTGATGATTCTGAGAACTTGACATTACCACTAGATCCATATACTTTCAGAAAACGATAGCCAATAATGAGGGAAGTTTTTAGAGACTGAAAGGCCAGCTGCTTTGTGATAGCCCCAAATTCATATGTTGGAATTTAGTTGTTAATGTGATAGTACTAAGGGGTGGGGCCTTTAGGAGGTGATTACATTGTGTGGGTGGAGCCCTCAGGAATGGATTAGTGCCCTTTTTTTTTTTTTTTTTTTGAGACAGAGTCTCGCTTTGTTGTCCAGGCTAGAGTGAGTGCCGTGGCGTCAGCCTAGCTCACAGCAACCTCACACTCCTGGGCTTGAGCGATCCTTCTGCCTCAGCCTCCCGAGTAGCTGGGACTACAGGCATGCGCCACCATGCCCGGCTAATTTTTTATATACATATCAGTTGGCCAATTAATTTCTTTCTATTTATAGTAGAGACGGAGTCTCGCTCTTGCTCAGGCTGGTTTTGAACTCCTGACCTTGAGCAATCCGCCCGCCTCGGCCTCCCAGAGAGGATTAGTGCCCTTTTAAAAGAGGCCCCAGAGAGCTGCCTGGCCAGACTAAATATGAGGACACAGCAACAAGGCACCATCGTTGAGGTAGATCAAGCCTCACCAGACACTGAATCTGCTGGTGCCTTGATCTTAGACATCTAGCCTCCAGAACTATGAGAAATAAATTTCCATTATCGATAGATTACTCATTCTAAGACATTTTCTTATAGCAGCAGGAATGGATTGAGACACACTTCCAGAGTCTATTTTGACTCAGTGATGAAAACCCACACTTTATTTTTTTATTTTTTTTTTGAGACAGAGTCTCACTTTGTTGCCCAGGCTAGAGTGAGTGCTGTGGCGTCAGCCTAGCTCACAGCAACCTCAAACTCCTGGGCCCAAGCAATCCTCCTGCCTCAGCCTCCCCAGTAGAGCTGGGACTACAGGCATGTGCCACCATGCCTGGCTAATTTTTTCTATATATATGTTAGTTGGCCAATTAATTTCTTTCTATTTATAGTAGAGACAGGGTCTCGCTTTGCTCAGGCTGGTTTTGAACTCCTGACCTTGAGCGATCCGCCCGCCTCGGCCAGCCAAAGTGCCGGCCAGAGTGCTTGGATTACAGGCGTGAGCCACCGCGCCTGGCACCACACTTTCTTTAAAGAGCAGTAGGGGAATGAGGACAGAGAACAAGCTAAAATCTGTTTCCGTCTTGCTTTCCAGTGATCATGTTTCAATCTTGCTTTTCAGTGATCAGCATATTTTTACTTGATCTTTAGGGTGTGGGTCAAATCTCCTTGGGAGAGTCTTTCTCAACTGACTAAAAACTTCCTGTTATGCTGAGGTCACATAATTCTAAATCTATTCATGAACACAGATGGTAGCCCCTAGACTTTGAAATACTTACACAAAATAATTTACGATCACTATTTTCTCTTAATGGTGTCCTAAGTTTTCTTGAAGAATTATAAGTAGGAACAGATCTTAGCTCACATAGAAGTGCATGCCAGACCAATGGCAGCCCCAGTTCGTCCCACAGACAACTGAAAGCGACAGGCAACGGCATATTCCCAGGTGGGGGAGAACGTGTTACTCTGGAGGACAGCTGAAGACTGACTAGCCAGTTGCATTCCTCATCCTGGGAGTTACCTGAAGCAGACTATTTGTGTGTCTCACTCATCTCTAATAGGTGTCTAAATCGTAGGTGGAATTTAATAAATATTTGCTACTAAGTGAGTGAAATAAAGCAGAGAGGGCAGTGATTGATTAAGCAAGGAAGCAAGAATTCAAACTCTAGCATCCTAGTTAGAGCCTGTGTTTTAAAATCACTTAGATACAAACTAGGACCTGATTTAAATATATATGCCCATGTATGTGTGTGTGTGTGTGTTCAAGGACTAAAATACACGTGTTATTTAGTGACCACTTGCCAAATTTCAACTTTAGCAAATAGCCTGGTGTCTATACACTTCCCTCTTCTTTCACTGAAAATAGGAAATTCCTTAGCCTCTTGCTGCAATGAAGGGTCTTTCAACCTTCCTCTGAAGATGGTGAGGAATTGACCTTGATTAAGAAGTATTTAGATTGTTCTTAATCTCACAGTGTCTTAATTTGAGTGCCTGCTGGGGAGACTTTGTGGTGATATATTGATCTTTTAAAATTGATTTTTTTTTTCTGTCTCACAAAACATATAACCCAAGCTGGTCACGTGGGGGGGAGACTTGATGAGCCTACTCTTTGTGATCGGTATTGTGCCTTCTTCAAAACACAAATTAAT